CCCATGTTACATGGGGGGGGGGGGGAACCTAGTCTTAGATTCAAGTAAATTAGGTATTTTTAGGTGCCCCAGGAAGAACTTAAGTTTCAGGCTGAGTGGGAGCACAGGTAACAGCTTGAGAACTGAAGTATAAAGCAAAGGAACTGAGAGAATCCTTCCCAAAGGATGCTTTGAGTTTGGCCAAGGCCACAGTGAATGCAAGAAGAACTACAGAATGTTCTGGTGCTATTTGTCCTCACATCAGTAAGCTCTTTGTTGATGCAGAAAACTTACCCTGCTTGCTTCAACATGATGCAACCTGTAGGATTCTCCTGTACTTTCATTAATTAAATCAAACTGATGCCGATATGCTACACAGATCATATTATCATTGTCTCCAGTCGGTCCGTCCACAAGAGTCATAATCATGGGAGTGTCAGAGAGACAAATCTCCTGTAATGCAAATCGCTTTGGATTAACATGAAAATAAATGAGAGAAATTATTCTATTGGTCTGCATTCTTAACGGGCAGTAGTTTATACAAGAGGTGGCGTCCCATGTTCTATGATTTGGAATAGGTGGCATGCATGTTGTACACCTGTAAGTTTCACTAATGACCACCCAAGAACCCAGCTAAGAAAATGGAGGATTGCTGTCAAAATTTCTGCAACGCAACTCTGGTGGTGGGCTTCTTCCCTGAACCAGCCCTAAGGTTCAGAGGGTGAAGTGTACCCCTATAGGAGCATGCAACACTGGCAAATGCTGACCAGTCTAAGAAGATAAGTTTTAGGATTTGACTCTCACATACCCTGATATATTGGAATTCCTCTACTGGTGATTCAGATGGAGGTGACATCAAAGAGGTGTTGGTTAAACTGTTGTAACGATTGTATTTCTTTGTGATGAGGAGCAGTTTGTTCCGAATAGCCACAACAATCCTCAGCTCGCTGCTGTGATGAGTGTTAATGGCATACAAATGACAGCCTGAGGAGAGAACGTTCTAGACTGTAAGTTCTTTGGGGCCAGGTTTGCTTTTTTGTTCTGTATTTCCACAGCACTTAATACAATAGGGTTTTGATATGTGATTAGTGCTCCTAGGAACTACAGTAATAGAAATAAATGAATGCATAATTAAATAAATAAAGATAGCAAAACTCATTCCAAAAAGCAGCAAACAGAGTTGATTATGAAGCAAAACCTAATTATTTTTCACTTGGAAATCTGCAAATTAGTAATTTTTTATTGAGTGAAGAACTAAACACAAAGAAATTGGGAGAAGTCTAAACCAATGTCCATGTAAAACCCAATGCAGAACTGGCTTTTCAGGGAAAGAGGGCTAAGAGTCAGTTCCTGTATCAGCTCCAGGGAGCATGAGAGACCTCCAGCACAGTGGTTGCACTGGGGCTCCAAAACAACATTCCCATCACCTTTGGTTTTCTCCAGTTTATTCTCTCTGCAGTCGTACTTGTTCTTTGCCATCTGCTTTGTCTCAATGCTTTTCTGTACAGCACTCAGCCTGAAGACAAGAAGTCGAGAATCCTTCCCTATCAGGTGGGAGACAGCCAGGGAAACAGGAAGATAAAACAAAGAATGAAACTTGTTTTTCCAAAGACAGTATTATTGCCAAAGTGTCAGTTCTGAACATGAAGAGCGACAGCCACAATCAATCAGCTATAATGAGGCAATTCTCTCCACACTCACTTGGGAATGAGCAGAATAGTGACAGGAAGGAAAAGATACTTATGAATCCTCTTAAATTATAAAACTCTGCCACAGGGTGGGGATCTCTCCAGTTAAAGCTGCACAGAACTATTATTATTGGTCATGGTATGAAACTAAATCTAGCAACAGAAAAGCCAATTTCAGAGACTAAAGGATTCATTCAAATCAGAACATCAGCCTTCCTTCATCAAGTGCTGCAGTGAAAAACAAGGTGAGAATTGGAGATAAAATGAACCTTGGTTACTACAACATAATGAAAATTCACATGGAATAAATATAAATTATAGCACAAGACTGAAGCATTACCTTTCAGTTTAGAAAGAATCCAATGAGTCTACGATTACTTGGTCACTGCATATTCTGAAAACTTCTGAAAACAAACTCAGCCTGCCTTAAAGAGCCATGTGACAATTTAAGCAAATTTATATCAAATAATTAGTGTTCATTTCTGCAGTTCTGAATACACTGGGCATGTGTACATGAGATGCTACAACACCGTAGCAATGTGCTCCCTCACTACAGCGCATTGCTATAGCGACATAGCAGCTAAAAATAACCATGTACCACCACAGCACAGTGCAGTATGGGCTGTTACTGCGCCATCATTTAGTACCTTCAAGAGAAAGTACTAGATGACGGCACAGTAACAGTGGCGTTGTAGGGGCACGTGTAGACGCCCATTCACTGCCACTTCTAAACTTTCAGTTTCTAACAAAGAGAAAATGTTTGAAGTTCAGTTATATAAAGCAGCAGCTATGATCATTTAATAAACTGGATTTTCCTGCCACCCAACTGAAAATGAATGATTATTTGCCTAGCAGTTGTAGTTTTTGAGATGGTGTAGTCAGCACAGATCCAGCTTCAGGTGCACAGATGCATATGAACAGCAGAGTCAGTCACGTCTGCACACAAACTTTGTACCTCCCTTGTGTTCATGTGCAATAGTATAGAGTGGAAGGGCTGCAACCTTTCTTCCATTTCACTGGAATCTGAAGCTTAGGTCAGCTGAGGACTCAGAGCTGGATGGAGAGATCCACACCCAGTACACAGCATCTCAGAGACCCAGTTCCTGTAGTACTGCAAGAAACGATTCTTCTCTGAATGTGTGTCGGCATGGGTCTCACAGTAGACTACCAGCAAAGAGCATCCCATTGGACTCTGGGAGAAGAGACATATCAATTGCGCAGGCCAAACAGGGACTGCAATGCTGCTCCAGTGGCTATGCAAAAGGCATCATGCTTATTGAGTCACTCCACAGGACTCCTGTAAATTTAACAAAATGGCCTACTTCTCGAGGCAGGCAGAGGATGTTAGCAAATCGCTGTTCGAGCAGCGCTTCATATTCAGCAAACTGGCAACAAACATGTACAGATACACTCCGTTCATCAGAGATGGTCTTTGTCAGAAGGCAGCCTGACCTTTGGAACTGCTGACTGGAGCAACAAATAACTGCTAAGACAGTCTGAACAACTTGGTTCTGTCAATGCAGCAAAAGTAAGGCTCTAAAAACACATATCTGTAACTTCTCTGCAGATGTAATATGCAGCCTTGGGAGGAAAAAAGGTAACAGAGGGCATGGACAAACATCTGTTTGGAGTGGCTTCAAAAGAGGAAGAGGGTGGGGATTGGGGGCTCTTGTTCCAGACTGCTAACAAGTAGGGAGCAATGCAAACGCAGCAAACAACTCCAGTTTTAACCCTTCTCCAACCAGGGTTAAAGTTGGAGCACTTTTGCCACATTTGTATCACTCCTAGCTCCTGCACCCCTAACTGTTAGAACCTCACAACAGCAGTTCTCCTCCCCCTTCTGAAACTGCTCCAAATGTATGTTTGTCCATGCCCAAACTGACTGATTCAGATAGAAATTTGAGACCATCTAAGAACACGATCATCTATGTAACACCAGTGGGACAGACACTGATGCATGCCTAGATTGTAATCATTCTTCTGGTTCAACTGACAGCAACTAGGAAACCCATTTTAAGAGTAACATTAAGGAACATTCTGAAAAGAGGTTCAAAGGGGGACCTGATGGCTCCCAGAGGATGATATTAAGATCCCAAGTAGAAGTCAACTATCTGGTCCATAGGTACATGACAGGCTCTTGAGAAATGTCAAGATTGTTGGGTAAAAGAAACAGGATGAATGGCAAGCTGAGACTGCTGTAAGACCTACCTTAAATACAGTTGAGCAAAGGGCTGGAGTGTTTTAAATGCAGCAGGTAAACAAGGGAACTTTGTATCAAGTTATGTTGGACTATCCACATAGAGAATACAGTATAGCCAACATTCAATCAGTCACATGGAGCGAATTTGAGGTATGGATGGAGTACTTGATTGAAGTGCGATGAACTCACAGCTGGATGCCTAAGGGTGAAGGGCACAGGGGCTCAGGTGGTGTTCTCAATCCTTCCAGTCAAAGGGAAGGGCCTGGGCAGAAGTGGATGCATCCTACAGATCAACGCATGGCTGCACAGAGGGTGTCGCCAGCAGGGCTTTGACTTCTTTGACCACAGGATGTTGTTCCAAGGATTGCTAGGAAGAGTGGGATCCACCTGGCAAAGAGAGGGAAGAGCATGTTTGCAGACTTCTTAACCCAGTGAGAAGGGCTTTAAACTAGATTTGCCAAGGGATGGAGTCCCGAGCCCTGAGGTAAGTAGGGAAGTGAGTGACTTGGAGGAAGCACAAGCAGGAGTGGGAAACCACGGAGACCTCCTTGTTCTTCCTGAGAAACTAGGGCAATTGGTTAGTTGTACCCTCAGTCATCTGTACATGAATACACGAAGCCCAGGAAACAAGCAGAAGAAATTGGAAGTCCTCGCACAGTCCGAGAACTATGATGTGACTGGAATAACAGAAACTTGGAAGGAGCTTGCATGACTGGACCACTGTCCTGGATAGGTAAACACTGTTCAGGAGAGACAGGAAGGGAGAAGAGGAGGAGGAGCTGCACTCTAGATAAAAGAACTGCATGACTGCTCAGAGCTCTAGTAAGAAACTGGATATAGGCCTGTTGAAAGTCTCTGGGTTCAGGTCAGAAGGGAGAGCAACACGGGTGATGTTGTGGTGAGGGTCTGCTATAGACACCAGGCCAGGAGCATGAGGTAAATGAGGCTTTCTTCAACCATCTAGCACAAGTTTCCCCAATCACCAGCCCTAGTTCTCATGGGGGACTTCAATCACCTTGATATCTGCTGGGAGGCCAATATAGCAGTGCGCAGGCAATCCGGGAAGTTTTTGGGAGTATTGATGACAACTTCCAGGTGCAATCATTGGAGCGGCCAACTAGGATCCATGCTTTTCTTGACCTGCTGCTCACAAACAGGGAAGAATTGGTGAGGAATGTAGTAGTGGATGGTAACTTGAGCAGCAGCAACCATGAGATGATCCAGTGCAAGATCTTGAGGAAAGGAAGGAAGGACAGCAGCAGAGCATGGACCCTGGACTTCAGAAAAGCAGACTTCAACTCACTCAGGAAACTGATGGGCAGGATCCCATGAGAAGCCATTCTGACAGCAAAAGTAGTCCAGGAGAGCTGGCTGTATTTAAACAAAAAAAAGTCTTACTGAGGGCACAGTAACAATGTGCAGGAAGACTGGCAAGTATGGCAGAAGACCAGCCTGGCTTAGCAGAGAATTCTTCAATGAGCTAAAACAGAAAAAGGAAGCTTACAAGTGGAAACTTGGACAAGCAAACAGGGAGGAGTATATAAGTACTGCTCAGGCATGCAGGGATGAAGTCAGGAAGGCCAAAGCACAATTGGAGTTGTAACTAGCAGGGAATGTAAAGAGTAACAAGGAGTGTTTCTACAAGTATGTCAGGAACAAGATGATGATCAGGGAAAGTGCGGGCCCCTTACTGAATGGGGGAGGCAGCCTAGTGACAGAGGATGCAGAAAAGGCTCAAGTGCTCATAGCTTTTTTCATCTCAGTCTTCACAGGCAAGGTGAGCTCCCAGACTGCTGCACTGGGCAGCACAATTTGAGGAGAAAGTGAGCAGTCCTCAGTGGTGAAAAGGCAGGTTAGAGACCACTTAGAAAAGCTGGACGTGTACAAGTCCATGGGGCTGGATGCAACGTACCCAAGGGTGCTAAGAGAGTTGGCCAATGCGATTGCAGAGCTGCTGGCCATCAACTCTGAAAACTCATGGTGGCTGGGAAAAGTCATGGAGGACTGGAAAAGGGCAAATATAATTCCCACCTTTAAGAAAGGGAAGGAGGAAGGTCCAGGGAGCTACAAAGCTGTCAGCCTCAACTCAGTCCCTGGAAAAGTCATGCAGCAGGTCCTCAAGGAATCCACTTCTAAGCATTTGGGGGAGAAGTTGACTAGGAACAGTCAGCATGGACTCACCAAGGGCAAGTCACGCCTGTCCAATCTGACTGCCTTCTAATGACGAGATGAATGGCTCTGTGGATGTGGGGAGAGCAGTGGGCATCATATACCTTGACGTGAGCAAGGCTTTTGATATGATCTCCCACAGCACTCTTGCAAGCAAGCTGAGGAATTAAGAGCTGGGTAAATGGACTACAAGATGGACAGAAAACTGGCTGGATTGTTGGGCTCACAGGGTAGTAATCAAAGGTTCTATCTCTAGCTGGCAGCTGCTATCAAGTGGAGTGTCCCAGAGGTCAGTCCTAGGGCCATTTTTTATCAATATTTTCACCAAGGATGAGATGGAATGCACCCTCAGCAAGTGTGTGGATGACACCAAGCTGGGGAAAGTAGTAGGTATGTACGAGGGTAGGGCTAAGATTCAGAGCCCTTGACAAATTGGAGGACGGGACCAAAATAAATCTCGTGGGGTTTAAAAAGAACAAGTGCAAAGTCTCACACACAGGATGGAACAATCCCATGCACCAATACAGGCTAGGGACTGACTGGGGCTTACAGTAGATAACAAGCTGAATACAAGCCAACAGGGTGCCCTTGTTGCCAAAAAGGCTAATGGCATCCTGGGCTGCACTGATAGGAGTGTTGCCAGCAGGTTGAAGTGATTCTTCCCCTCTATTCTGCACTGGTGAGGCCACATCTGGAATTCCTTGTCCAATTTTGGGCTCCCCACTTCAGAAAGGATGTGGACAAGTTGGAGAAAGTCCAGCACAGGGCAACAAAACTGGTTAGGAGGCTGAGGCACATGGCTTCTGAGGGGAGGCTGTGGGAACTGGGCTTATTTAAACTGGAGAAGACAAGATTGAGTGGGGATTTAATAACAGCCTTCAACTACCTGAAGGGTAGTTCCAAAGAGGATGAAGCTAGACTGTTCTCAGTGGGGGCAGAGGACAGCACAAGGAGCAATGGGCTCAAGCTGCAGCAAGGGAAGTTTAGGTTAGCTACTAGGAAAAACTCTCTCACCAGGAGGGTAGAAAAGCACTGGAACAGGTTACGCAGGGTATGTCTACATGAGATGTTTACCATGCAGTAGGCTAATTAGCTGTGCAGAAAATGTCTTGGCGTCTACGTGTGCACCCAAATCAAGCTAGAGTAAACTAATTTACTCTACAGCAGGACAATATTTGGAAATACAAGTACTATCCTGCTGCAGAGTAAAAAAACTCCTCAGTAGTGTATGTGTAGATGTTGTCCTGGGGCTGGCTGCCTGCTGGCTAGCCCTGCACTGAAGCACCCTTGTGCCCCAGCTAGCCCCTCTGTAGCATGTTGAGCTGGGGGGAACAGCCCTGGGCTGGCAGGCTGACCCCTCCGGCTTCCTGCCAGCCAGGGCTGCTCCAACCTAGCTTAACATACCGTGCTCCTGGGTGCACGTTCAAGCGGCAATAAACTCTGGAGTGGAGTTTATTGCTTTGCATTAATTGCTCATGTAGATGTGCCCTCAGAGAGGTTGTAGAATCTCCATCCTTGGAGGTTTTTAAGACCAGGCTAGATCACAATCCCATCTTGAATCTGAAGAGAGAACTGCAGGTAAGTGTCACCATCCTGAACCTGACGTGGTATGTTTCTGTTCAGTCTCTACCAGGTCCAAAGCAAAATTAAGCTCCCCTTTTTTCAGGATGTGGCAATATCTGGAGTTAAAGCATTACTCTGCTCACCTAAGTATGCCTCCTAACAAGGCTACTTTTTATAACAGGTAATTGTGAAAAGGGTTACTTGAGAGGGATGGAAGAGGAGACTGGGTAAGGTGTAAGGTATGAAATTGAATATACATTACACACACACACACACTTTGACAAAAGTAACTTCTGCATGCTAGATATTTTCCACATAGCAATTTGCAAGCATGGCAGATCATTCTAAGGTCCAAAGTTGAAAATTAACTGACTTGGTTTTGTGCATTAATGCTACTAGACGCTCCCAATTAACTGCGTATTGGCATCTCATTTTCAGTTACTGGGATCTCTTCTGGCAAAAATACTAACTACTGAAATTGCTCTTACATCAGTGGACCAGAAACTGTCAAAGCAGATTTGGGGAAGACTCAAAGAAAGCAATGAAAGAAAGGTCCAGCTAGCTGTGCTAACCACTAATAAAGATAGCAGGGGAAAGCAAAATACACAAAACCTTTAGAAGACAATTACTGCCAAAATGCAACAGCATTCTCAAAGCCAAGATTTCAACTGTTACCTTCCACTGACCACTCCATCAAATAATAAGCACACCAAAACACATTCATGTTAGAACTGAGGAACTGTTAGGGCACTGGTTCACAAATAATCCTGGACTACATGCTCCTTTTCTAGTTTGCTATAATGCTGTGCATGCTCCTTTAATTCCATGATATGGTTAATAAAAACCAATGCTTTATGCCACTGGCTACTCTGTAATCTCTTCAGCAACCTAACAAATACTGTACAGCTCTTCATTTTTCCTCTTCGTTTTTCTCCTTTTATATTTCCCATTTTCCTGCTTTCTTCCCCTCGAGTACCCCAGTCTGGGAAACATGGGATTAGAGAGTCCTACCTCTGTCTGCTCTGGTAATCAGAAGATCCAAAGCTTCCAGCACATGCATCTGCTTTACTTGGAGAGTTTTATCAAATACTTGTATTGAAGGCTGGCCATCTGGAAAGAAAACATGACACTAAATATTAGAATTAATTTCTTTAAAACCCTACACTGTCTGGACCAGTAATATTAAAGGAATGTGTTGCTTACAGCAAAGTTTGTTGTTGGGTTTTTTTAATGCGAAAATAAAGCAGCCAGTGTACAGCTGTTTCCTGTACAGTACCAGAGATAGTACTTTCTTCCAAGAGGAGCATATCATGCATGCCTAAAAAGGCCTGTTTTCCAGAAAGTTTGAGAAAAGTCCCTGAGAACCAATGGCCCTTGATGCAATTCCCTGCCATATATGTGGCACACATGGAAAAAGGAGTCAGATCCACAAAATCAGTGATAGTAAAGTATCAAGGACTGAGAAGTCCAGGCAGGTCACTTGGACGCTGTTTAAACTTGGACTTGGTTTAAGAAATTATTTCAAACTGTCAAGAAAACAACATATAAAAATAAGACTATGTTCAGAAACCTGCATTAAAAATGGATTACCAAAACGATCCAGATTTGTCCAGTTTTTGGTGTGGAGCAAAATTATGCTATTAAGTTACAAAGCCCTGACAGTAAAGATATTTGGAAATACACATGAAATGTTAACAATCTTCATTAGTGATCAGCTGCTAGCAGCTAAATAGGGGCTACTGAGTCAGTGTTGGTAACTTGTTAGACAAGTGTTGGATCATTCACTGACCGTCTATAAGCAGAACGCCAACATCTGTAGAAACTAGCAAGGACTGGCCCCAAGAATCCGCACAAACAACTTCATAAGGAAAATTATTGCAGAAACACTGGGACTCCCAAGGCTGTAAAACAATATGGGTAGGCAATAATTATACTAGGAAGCACTAAGTTTATTAAACAGAGAAAATGCAAAAAACATTGGCTAAAACAGTAACACATGGACACTTTTGGTGGGACAGAATAAATTAATCAGTGTTGTACTTTTTGGAGGTAAAATTTCAGGGGTTGGTCTGTTCCTCAGAGGAGGCAGTATTCACTACAACTGGTATAGCAGATTAATAAATGCAAGGTACATTTCTGGGACTCTAAGATGGAATGCCCTTTGGTAGGTCACATCTTGCAACTGCAGAGTGAGACAACACTTTGTATACAATGTGATCCTTCACTTCAAAATAGATCACATGTGGTAAGCTCTCAGGAGGTGTAGAAGGTAAACAGTTTGACTTTCCTGCATTCAAGTGTGCAGGAGCAGATGTTTTCTCTTTGCTCTTATTGCATCCAATTACAAATACATTGTGAACTGCATCTGGAAGGCAAAGTTTTTGAATGACTTAACACTGCATCAGGTACAAAGGTCCACTTACCTCCTTTTTACACAGGCCTGTGGCAGCCAAACTAGTTGGTGCATCCCCTTTTACAATGCTTTTCAGTTTCAGTGCCTTAACCAAGACAGAAATTTTATTTAAAATATGTTTCCTGTATGTAACACTAATGCATAAATACTAAAATATTGGGAAGCTGAGAGAAGCAAAGTCAGGTCAATTATAATAGTTTCAGTTCTAGACTTTCTGGATGACAATTAATAATTTCTACATGAGAAAAATAGCCATTTCATGTCCAGTTACTGAAAGGTTAGAACTACTATATGTATATATACATGTCACTGGAGAAAACTTCAAATGATAAAAAAATTACTATGCAGATATCTTTTATGGGACTAGCTACATGTTTGGTCCAATACATAGGCCTCTGGAACATTTCCAGGACCACCATGAATACAATTACACTCCAACATAACCAAAAATTCTCAGTGAGCTAACTGGAAGCAGACCCTTCATTTGGAGAGATGGTGCCATGCCTGCACGGTCACATTCCCAGAAATACATTTTGAGGTACTAAAAAACCTTATATAATCAATTTCATATAATGATGAAAATTGTATCGTCATGAACACAATCACAAACTTCACTATACAAATGGATAGACGCACAGTGATTGTGAAAAATACTTAGTGCATTGTAAAGAATGCTACAGCAAGGCTTTGCAAGTATCAAACATCAGTGTGATGACAAACACGAGAATTCAAATAAGCTTTTCCTCCTGCATTATCACTGACAAAGAACTTCACAGCTAAATTAAGAAGCAGTGTTGTAATGCAACAGATGCATGGAACCACGGTAAATTAAATAATGCACTTATTTTTTAGAGTGCTTCTCTGTGGGGTAACTTCCTTTTAATAATTTTTTGGAAAACTAATTCTAAGCAAGCAATGCAAAAAGTTTATTTGGTCTGTTTGATTGCCAAGTTGAGAGAGAGAGAGAGAGAGAGAGAGAGAGAGAGAGAGAGAGAGAGAGAGAGAGAGAGAGAGAGAGAGAGAGAGAGAGAGAGAGAGAGAGAGAGAGAGAGAGAGAGAGAGAGAGAGAGAGAGAGAGAGAGAGAGAGAGAGAGAGAGAGAGAGAGAGAGAGAGAGAGAGAGAGAGAGAGAGAGAGAGAGAGAGAGAGAGAGAGAGAGAGAGAGAGAGAGAGAGAGAGAGAGAGAGAGAGAGAGAGAGAGAGAGAGAGAGAGAGAGAGAGAGAGAGAGAGAGAGAGAGAGAGAGAGAGAGAGAGTGAGTGAGTGAGTGAGTGAGTGAGTGAGTGAGTGAGAGAGAGAGGAGACGTCCATACACCTTTGCACCACCTTCTCCTGGGCTGTATTATTGAAAAGTGGGTACCTCAGCCAAAGGCTAGGATCTAAACCAAATATTTCTATACTATAGAAACATACTTATCCCCTTTAGTGTTTGTTTTAATCATTGTTTTCTGGTAGCTTCCTAGTCACCTTTATTCATTCTTTCCCCAGAAATAAACCTATAGTAAACATCTTAAACTCATTTACATATAATTTTTATTGTAATCACCTTCCTTAATAGGTGGCCCAATAATATTTATCCTATATGTGTACGCAATTGTGTTTGGTTTCCAGTTTAACCCTGCTTCCCTCACTTTATGTTGCTGTCTATGCAACCGATTAATCTTCAGCCTTCAAATTCCCCACATTGTGTGTTCATTTATTTTAATCATAAAGAAAAAGCAAAGAACATAAATTGAATCTGCGCTTGAACACTATACAGTTTTCCCAATTATGTGTACTCATCAAGGTCTCACTTGCATCAACTTGACTTACCAGAACCATTTTTATAACTGTTTCTCAAAATCTAATTTGTCAGTTTGTTAAATAAAGGAAATGATTTAGATAAGCATTCAATGCCTTTGTGGCTTAGAATAGATTAAACACAGTTCACTTTCTTCTGCCAGATTGAGTCCTGAAAGTATAGGAAAACCTGGATGTTCTGCGAAGGGATGATTTGCAACCCGCTTAATTGACAGCGAGATGTCAAACAAAGGATGAGCCATTCAACTGTTTGCTGCAGATTTTACATCAAAGGACACTACTTCTCCAATCAGCAGGACACCACCAAGATTCAGAACAGCAAAAACTGCAGCCAGCAGCTTGCTTTACTTCTATTTTTCTACTTCAGATAAGCTACACAACATGGATCTTGCAAGCCTGTTTCTGACCACAGAGAACTATGCTCATCTTTGCTGTAATTACACCCACCAGCCAGCTTGCACCAACGATGAATTTGATCCATAATTTCTAAATAAAGCCTACCTGACCGAGTCGGACAAATTCCGCTTGACGGGCCTCCTCCTTCTTCCGTGCTGATTTTGGGGACTCTGGTAATACGTCACTGAAGGACCTCCGATTAAGCATGTTCTAAAATAGAAAGCATCACCAAACCAAGAATTTTACACTATTTTTCCCACAATTTTATGTGACATTACCTGATTTTGCTATGTTCTTTCAACATTTTTCTGTTGCGTAAACTTACCTTAATAGCAAAATTAACTTTCCTCTGACTGCGGGTCTTCTGATAAAGCCAAGAGCATGCAGTTTAACCTTTGCAGGTTCCTATGGCCAACCTTAATTCAACCTCACACCAGAGTTACAAGGAGGTTTCACATACAGTTCCTTTACCAACACAGAATGCGCACAGCTAGAGGATTCCATTCGGGGGGAAGGAAGGCACATCACAGAACCTGGGTACTCAAAACTTCTCAGAGAACAAGAGAAAATGTAAGGTAAGAAACTTCTCTTCCAATAATTACTGTATGAACCCTTCTCCAGGTGACTAACAAGCAATTGCTTCTAACACTATTGATACCAGGATGTATTCTAATATTATAAAAGCCTTACTCTGTTTGTCTGTCTGTTTGTCCATAATGCTTTATTCACACTCTGATTGGTTGTCTGAAACAACTCAGAGTGCTCCAAGAACATTCCAGACAGGAGGGGGCAGCAGCGGTGGCGGCACGGAGAAGCATTGCCATGATGGCAGTGACAGAGCAAACGGAACAGGGGGGCAAGGCCACCTTCCCCTCAGCCCTGCTCCCCGGAGGCGGCAGCAGCAAGGAGTGCTGCCCGAGGGGGTCAGAGAGAACAGTGGGGAAAGCATGAATTATGCATGCCCCCGGCAGCTGGGGAGGCATGGTGGTGGCAGGAGTGTGGTGGCGGTAAGCGGGAGCTCCCGG